ATACGACGCGGCCTCAAAAAAAAATGAGGTCAGCCATCAAGGTGACCAAAATAGAGAAGAGACAGGCGACTCCACTGGGGAGACTATCAGATGGGTGCAGGCAGATTACAATCAGCAACGCTAAAACCATCAATTTGATTTGGAACACACCTCATTCTTCATTATCATCAAGGCTCAAAAGATGTTTTGTTTGGTTCGAGGAAGCAACATTTTAACATTTCGACAACCAGTTTCGCGATGTCTTCAAATCAGACGTAGCGAACAATCAATCTACTAAATTTTGGGATCCAAAGTATTCCGAAAATTCGTCCCAGTCAATCGCGAACTTTCGAAAACTTTGGAGGGGGTTCTGTAGGCTGTTTAAAAATCACAATGGATAGCTGATCCCCACGAGATTACAAGGCAATGGTTCCTTCAAATCAAGAAGCAGAATTCATCCTTACAATCAAAACAGAAGAGATTTCTAAATCATTGCATTTGCGGCATTATAATCGCTACAAACACGACCTCATGTTTGAGATGATTGATCTTGATGGCTGCGACAACAACATGACTAATATTACATTAGCAACTATTAGAGATGCTGATGAGCAGTATAATGATTTCAGAAATAAAAGGTTGGACTTAGTTGGTGAGTTGCTTGGTAGAGAGCTGTGGGCAAATATTCGCTTAAATATCACAATGGATAGTTGATCCCCATCAAGTTCTAACAATGAAAGCTACAATCAGATAGCTTTCATGCCATCAAACGAAAGCTGCAAACTGAGGACTTTTCACATAGATCGAGAAGAGTTACAATTCAACAACACTTCCGACAACTGATGAAAGCTCTATTCAGCAGTTACAATTCAACAACACTTCCGACAACTGATGAAAGCTCTATTCAGCAGTCTTCACAATCTACAGTGAAAGTTACAATCTGACGACTTTCACACTCCACAACAGCTAAAGCTAGGATTACTGAACGACGGTCCTTGCAACGCTCTGTAGAAGAGGTTACAGATCAACTAACCCCTCTTAAAACACGGAAGTCATCCCCGCGTTACAATTCGGGAAGTGCAGGCGACCCCCACGTTTCCAAGCTACAACAATTCAAACGCGAACGACCCTCGCGTTCTTTAGGTTCAACCAACACCCGACCCCAGCGTTTCCAAGCTGCAACAAACAAAACACGAGCGACCCTCGCGTTCATCAATGTTCAGTCAACACCCAACCTCGCGTCTCAATTCTAAGACGCGAAGTTGGGGTTCTGAACGCCAGATTGGGCGTTTGACTCGTTCAAACATGAGTCGAACGATTTCAGAACTGTTTTCCCCACGATCTGAGGAAATCACGCCCACTTAGGAGCGGGTTTAGAGGGCAGTTACAACCTCTTATCCACCTATAAAATCTCAACAAACTCAACTGAGTTAAGGGCTGGCTTTTTGGAACGGAGAGGCAGCGAGGTTAGATTTTCAGCATCTAAACCGTACGGGTTTGGAATTTCTGCAGGATCTCAACCGCACAAAGAGGCAGGAGAGACAAAATCCTTGGAGATAGGATTTTTGAATCGAGTGCAGAAGATCAAAACGGAAAGGATTCTTCAACAACAGAATATCTGCTTGGTCATTAACCGAATCTTCGGTTCTAACAACTCTATTCACATAGTTCTAACCCGTTCAGAGTTCTTAAACTCGTTAAAGAGTTACCCATCAAACTTTCCACAGAAGTTCTTCGTTCCCACGAGATAAAAGACGGTTGGATCGTCAACGGAGAGCAAATTCGACGCGAACAATCGAATGAGGCACTTTATCGCTACCTTGAAGAACCCAATTTTAAACAAAGGAAAGAACCAAATTTGTTCTCCTTTCTTTTGTAATCAAATTGTAACCAGGATCGAAGAAATACAAGTCAAATTTCTTTTATTCTCTTTATTGCAATTTTTCCAACATACAGATAGTGTTCTGAACTTTCGTCGGGCATTTGAGCACTTGGAGTTGATTGATCTAAATTTCACTTTTTTGCCATCAAGTGAAGAATGGGTAAAGGTTGAAAAAATTACAAAGTTTTTAAAACCTTTTTATGAAGTGTCCACTCTTTTTTCTGGAAGTAAATATCCAACTGCCAACTTTTATGAAGTGTCCACTCTTTTTTCTGGAAGTAAATATCCAACTGCCAACTTATATTTTGGTGGAGTGTTTAAGATTCAAAAATGCATAATGGAGGCAACTGCCAACTTATATTTTGGTGGAGTGTTTAAGATTCAAAAATGCATAATGGAGGAGATGAAAAGTGACGATCAAGATATAAAATCCATGGCAAATGATACGAAAATAAAATTTGATAAATATTGGGAATGTTACAGTGTTATTTTATCATTTGCAGTCATTTTGGACTCTCGATACAAGGCGAAGAATGTAGAGTTTTGTTTTGAGAAATTGAGAGTTAGTTCTGATTATGTGTTGACTATCTTAGAGAAACTGAGAAGTCTTTACAAAGAATATGAGCGAGCATCTCTAGGTACATCTGTAGCTGAGAGCAATGGTGGAGAGAACTTTGGAGATGTTCCTAATGATGAGATGGTTGAGTTTGAACAGTTTGAGAGTCAACTATATTCAGTCAATGGGTCCAAGTCTCGGTTAGAAGAGTATCTAGATGAAAAATTAGTCAGTTGGAAGAAAAATGATCATTTAAATGTTCTCGAGTATTGGAAAGGCGAATGCGAGAAGCGTCCTCAGTTGTCAATGATGGCTCGAGATATATTGAGTATTCCTATTACTTCAGTGACTTCTGAATCGGCTTTCAACATTGCGGGTCGTGTGCTTGACAAGTATCGAAATCGTCTTCTTCCGTTGAATGCTGAAGCTCAAATTTGTACTGGTTCTTGGTTAGACGAGATTTCTTGTGAGTTGCCTTCTTTTTTCTTCTTTATTGTTTTTTTGTATTGTTGTGGACTATATATTTTATCATAGAATATTAATATTATTTTTTCTTATTAAATGCAGCACTGGCAGACATTGAAGAAGAAAATTTATTGGTATATGATTTCAGTAATCTAGAGGTTTCTGAATGCGAAAGTGATTAGCGTTGTAATCCTCTTCTAGCTAAATTTTTGGTGGGAGCTTTCTCGTTAAGCTTTCTACGAGTACTTTGCAGGTAACCAATATCCACTTGCTGAACACAACTGTACAAAGCCTCATGTTTTGTTTTGCTTAGCCCTGTCATGTATTCTTATTTTAAGAAAAGCCTCATTCATATCTCTGGAAACTACTGGGTTGTGAGCAACATTATACTCTATTTCCCCACATGTAACAAAGAACTTGATAATCAGATTAGTTTCTTCAGACTGTAGAGCACAATCGTGTACCGTAGCTTTTGATATAGCTTATGCATGTAGGAACATCATTTTCATGTGCAATTCCTTTTCTTATGCTTACAGAAGCTACGTTTGAGAATTGAAGATCCTCCGAGAAGAAAGCATATGGTATATCTAGGAGGTGCAGTGCTTGCAGGAATCATGAAGGTAACATTAATTTGGGGATACAAATTTTATCAAAACAGTCATTATCTCCAATTCAGTTCCAAAACAAATCTTAACTGGGTACCGTATGAAGAATATTATCCTGTACACTAGCAATTATAATTAAGCATTTTGTTAATACATGCTGTTTTCTGGTCAATATTCAGCAACAATTGAGCACTTTCAGTGTGCTAACGCAAACATGCTAATAGTAAGCTATAGGAGTAATAACAAAATTGAAAATATGTTAGACAGTAGACTTGTTGGCAAAGCACTCTAATCTCCACAGATTTTTGTATAAACTTTAGTCTAATCTTATCTTACACTTTGCATACCTGCATTATATCGGTCTGCATTATTATGATTCATGACAATTTACATACGGCTAATGGAGAAATTTTACTTTGTCTTGTAGGAGAATGGAGTGCTTGACCGTGAAGGAAGTTGTTTTATTTCTTTTGGACTTGAATATTACGTCTATGTCGGTTTAACTTTTTCAGTGTTGGTCTTATGAGATGTTTGTTTACAATCTGGTTATGGTAGTCTAGATGTGCATTACTTTTTGCCGTTCTTGATGTTCTTCAAGCCCGGATGCGGCTATCTTGTTTCAATATATACGCTTCATTAATGTTTACTTGTAGCTTTTTTTTCATACGAGGGAACTGGATCATGATGCATGATGTGTATACTCTTTTTAGTTACCTCCAATTTCATGTACAATTGATTGCATACGAGCGAACTTGATCATGATCATGATGCATAATTATCTTTTTTTTTGCAAGGTGACTTTGTGGAAGCTGCTGAGCAGTGTATCGCAATCTATTAGTACTGATTATACTACTTGTTTTATCTTTTTTAGACATATGGCTCATTTGTTGAATGAAAATTCTTCTGACTCATTTGTTGAATAAGAGTTTTATTTTTACTAAATGGGAAAATTGGTGGCCCATTTATTAAATGGGTGGGCAAAAACCCGCCCATTTAGTAAATATTAAATGGATCATAAATGAGTAAATGGGCAAAACATGTCCACCCATTTATGACCCGTCCATTTTATACCTAAACTCACCCATTTAACACCCCTACCTGACCCATATTTTTGGACATGGAGAGTAACATTCTCTTAGGAACACCATCTCCGATCTAATCTTGAGAACAGTAACATTCTTTTGGGCACACGGTCTACGATCTAATCTTGAGGACAGTGCATCCGCACATCCCCAGATCCTTCTCTATGAAAGTTAAATTTCGTTAGTTATCCGTCAATATTTTTACAACAAGAATGTCCTGTATTGACACCATTGGGAACCACGATAAACATGACCACAATAAGAATACATTTCGGTCATAGATTCTAAGTGAGCTTCCTAAACCAAGAAATTAGCAAGTTAACTACTTGCTTCGTATCTGCTTTATTCGAGAGCTATCTAACAAGACTGGTCTAGCAACCAAATCAAACAAAAAAGCAACCACTAAACTAGTTAGTCATAATATTCCTTCACCATTTTCCATTCAAAAGTACAAAAGGATGCATTTTTGTCTAAAGAAGTTCAAAAGTTAATCTGACATCAAACACCAAGCCCATCTTCCTTTTCTATCCTACATCAAAGATTAGTTCAGGCCATCGATCGTCGCGATCACATTACGTTGCATCCAACCGTGTTATCATCATTGAAGTACTCGGCGAAACCCATGGTCTGCTGTGGCTGCACAAATGATGGGCGATTAGCTGGATACTGACAACGGCAATGGTCGTGGACGTAACAAGGCATATTCATAGCGTAATACGGCGCTGGAACAGGATAGTAGCCCTGTACATAAAGTGGAATTGCGCCAGGATTCACAAGGCAGTTCACCTGAGGGACGTTCGTGACTACCGTCTGATACGAGTTCTTCTCTACTTCTCGAATGATTATGGGGGCTTCGTCGATGTTCTTGTTTTCTTGGATGTCAACTTCATCGTGTTCTTTGGTCTGGAACTTTTTGGTGCTGGAGTTGGAGTTGGATTTCCTCTCGGTCGACTCAATATTGTCTTTATCGTTAGCGTTCTCCATTTTATGGATCGTAGTTTCTGATTCTTGTTTTTCTTTTGGAACCGGTGGCTGTGAAGGCCATAACACCGCGGATTTTCCACATTTTGCCAGCTTCTTGATGAGAGTTTGAACTTCTACGTTTCCGGTGACTGTGATTTTAGGAAGGGTGGGATGGATCTCTGTCTTCAAAACCCCTGTATTTTGTACGTACATTACTTAGAAATAAGTTAATTGAGACTTTTTCATAGGTGACACTGTCTCGTTAACATGTTGCCTCTAAGGGCCTGTTTGTTTGCACGGAAGTAATTATGAAGTAGCTGAAGTAAAAGAAGTAGATGCTACTTCTGCTATTTCCAAGCAAAAAAATATGTTTGGTTCTCTGAAAAATTTACTTACAATACTTTTCTAAACGCTTATGTGACACCTACGTGTCATCTTTTACTTTTAAAATATTTTTGCAATCCTCAATACTCAGAAGTAACTCAGAAGTAGTTAAAATGCATATTTATTAGGAAATAAATAATTTTTTTATTAATATTTTCTTTATTAGTTACTTCTAGCAACTTTTCATTGATAAAATTACTTTCTAGTAATATTTCCAAATGTTATCCAAACAAAAAAAAGTAAATGAAGAGGAATATGTTCTACTTCCATTACTTCTAAAAATATATATGAAACAAATAAAAAAATGCTATTTTCACTGCTTCCTACTTCATAGTTTTGAAAGTTACTTCTATAACCTATTTTTTATTTCCAATACTTCCATTATCCAAACGGGCGCTAAGTTGCTGATCTTCTAGGATCAATGCATTTAAATTTTTTACTTAACTATAATGCAGTTAATGAATAAACCATTTGGAGCTATTAGCTACCTTTAATGCTTAAGGCCTTCAAGATCTTTCTCTTGCAGCCCTCACAACAGTTGACAGAGACCTTCAAATCCACTTTCTGAAAAAGAAAAGAAAATTAGCATGAGA